TTTTGGTAGTTCTTTAACTAACAACCCATGCTCAGATCGAGAGATCCAGCACCTTCATCCGAGCCACGCGTGAAAGAATGGTTTGTAATCTAGATTCTGCAATCATTCTATGATGCTCCATGCTCATCGGTGGTTAGGTCAGAGCGCTTGGACAGTGTCGTTCAGAAGGCCCGACTCCCGCGGAGCGTACAAGCGTTGTATCTTCGGCCACTTCGGAGGAAACCTGAATTCGGTCTGCCAGTCTGCGATCTTCAACTCAGGTCTTATAGCGTTCGCAACCTGGAGTTTTTTGCTGACTTTGCTGTACGCGCTGCATATTACCTGAAACTTCCTGTTTCGGGGCCGGTGCCTCTGCCACGGATCGTTGAACGCTGGACTTTCCCGCGAAGCAATTTCGTTCACAAGAAAAGTCAGGAGAACTTCGAGCGAATAACTGTCCGCCGGTTGATTCAGATCAAAGATGGACATCCCCAAGCTGTACAGGCATGGCTGGCTTTTTTACGTAAACATGCGTTTTATGGCGTTGGTATGAAAGCAAATGTGTGGGATCACGAAAGCCTTGGTATGGCCTCCTTCCGCTGCACTTACTGCCTGATTGGGATCGTATCAAGACGAAACATGCTTACGGAGTGTTGAATCTAGACGTGGCCCGAAACATGGATGAAGCAGTGCCCGATATCGAGAAGTCGCTTGAACCTTACCTCTCACATTTCGGTCATCGGAGCGATGGGTCGGATCAGAGCGGAGTGTTTGATCTTCTAGAAAATGAGCGATTCACTCATAACAAGAGTCCCCTAACAGACATTCGCAAGGGGTGACCTCATAGTTGTTAGGCTGCTTTTGCTCTGCTTATAATTCTCTCAGCACATCGGCGATCAACCCATTTTTCTCTGAAATCATCAAACATGCAAGCAATCTCATTAAATATCAATGAGACATTCAAATTTGAAAGGCAATACCATTATACCAGTCATCAAGATCTAGCTTATATGTAGCACTCGAAGTATGGATGGTCGAGTTTTTAGTATCATAAAGTAGTAGTGATATCACGTGGTTAAACATTTATCGAAGAGAGTGCTAAATCATTAATCCTTTTTTAAATAATATGCCATTCACACGGAAATGGTCTGCACCAAAATCCCCTTCTCAGTCAACGGATTGGATATGCAGGGATCCAATTGCCGCAACAGTCAAGCTCTCAGAGTTCTGCTTGGAGCAAGGCGAGCTTGCGTTCACGTAGCAGGAAAATCTGTGACGTCGAGAGAAACTTTCCGCAGATGGAGTAGCTCAGACACAGCGAGATCATCTTCAGCTACCAATCAGACCATATTCTCTGGGATCCAACCAACCGGTGTACCGCACCTTGGAAATTATCTGGGGGCTCTGCGTGAATGGGTACGGCTACAGAATGCTGCGAAGGAGGGGACAAGATTATTTTTCTCAATCGTCGACTTGCATGCGTTGACAGTCCCACAAGATGCCTCCCAGCTACGAAATTGGAGAAAGGAGACTTTTGCAACACTCATCGCCGTTGGCTTAGATCCGAATCGCTCAACGATATTCTACCAGTCCGCCGTATGCAGTATTCATCTGTGTTGTAAAGTTTACTGACCATTCTTAGGTCCAGGCGCACACTGAACTGTTTTGGATTCTGTGCACAATAGCCTCTATGGGGTATCTCTCTCGAATGACACAGTGGAAGGTGAATATCCAGGCCAGGTGCCAATATGTTCCAAAGGTGAGAAGGAATAGCTAGCTGACGTCGTCCAGAGCAAGCTCCAGTTGCCTGATAATGCAAATTTGGAAGACTCGGCAGCGAGATCAAGGTTGCGATTGGGTTTGTTCTCATACCCTGTTCTACAAGCGGCGGATATTCTCGTTCATAGGTATGCCTGGCCAATTCATCGGCGCATTTTCACATTACTGACATAGGACAGAGCTACTCATGTTCCTGTGGGAGAAGATCAAAGGCAGCACCTTGAATTTTCGAGGAATACTGCGAGTAGTTTTAATCATGTATATGGACCCATTTTCCCGTCGCCGGAGGCAATTATATGTAAGTGGGTTTTGATCCTTGCGGAAAGGTTCTGGGTTCAAAAATTGATGAGTATCAATAGCTCCCGCTAAACGGGTTATGTCCCTCAAAGAACCGACTTTGAAAATGTCGAAGTCCCATGCCGACAGACGCTCAAGGATTATTCTTACAGATTCGCGCGAAGATATCTTCAAGAAGATCAATGCTGCGCTCACGGACTCGGAATTGACCATAACATATGACCCAGTGCGTCGGCCTGGGGTGGCGAATTTAATAGAGATCTTGAGTCACTTCGACGGACGATCTTGCGATGAGATAGCCATGGAATACCGTTCGGCCAGTCTTCGCGCTTTGAAGGAACATCTCGCCGGCACTTTGTCCGATCACCTGGAGGGAATAAGGGAGAAGTATCTTTCACTTGTAGGTGATCAGACTGACTACCTTGATTCTATAGCAGAACAGGGTTGTAAAGCCGCGCGTGCCAACGCTGAATTGACAATGGAGCAAGTCAAGGTCGCCATAGGGTTAATTTAGCCCGTCATATACGTTATCATTGTGCTCTGCTGGGCACGTACATGGGCCTTGTGGCCACTATCAACAATTATCCATCACTGTCGCCTGTCTATTTGAGTTCTCGACAGTTGGTTATGCAATATATATATGTATGGCCAATTGGGTCTCACTGGGATTGGTGCTTATAGAACATCTTGTACTGCTACTGCGATTGAATTTACAAATCATAGGTAGGTGTATGTTACCTATATTGGCAGGGATACGTCATCCATAGTGGACAATGGCTGGTGCCTACAGTGCCAGACTGGTCATGGGAAATGGAAGTCAGAAGAGCAGACGAGACGAGTGGTGTGGTACCTTAGGAGAAAACATTACCTAGGAACATGCAGTGTATATCCCCCCTTTCATACATATGGTCCATTGCCAGATTATAGGTATAATGTCCACCCATTGCTGAAAGTGTCGTGAAGCGCCTTAGGGTATTGTCCAGCGGACCTTCCTACCGATATTTGCTTAATAATACGGTAGCAGACTCCCTCAACTAATGGAAGAGTAGGATTACCATACTCCGTATAAAGATTGCAAAAACTGAAATGTTACCTATTATTATGTGACTAGCAGGGTTGTGCATCATCAGTAGTATTATTTAAAACCCTCAGATAGACAGGATATGATAGAATATTCAGGGGCTCCTCGAACTTTGAATAGCTGACTTGAACATATTGAACTGCCTTAGCAGTATCTGAAAATCGGTTTCCGCATTCTCCGATAGCAGCTGTTTGCGGCGATGGCTTAAAGCTTAGGCCTGGTGGCTACCTAGGCTTTTGATCAATCTTACACTAAATCATTTAGTCCACAAGTGGGACTGGAAGAGCATTAGCATTATGATATTACTTATTCAACCGGAACGTTTAACACCCCTCCCATTGGTACCATAAATCTACTGAAAGCGACTAGGGCCCACCATGGATGACGACAACAGCCGACACAGCATGATGTTTATGATGCCTGGAATTGGTACCTACCCGCTCCTCCGACTGTGCTGGGTGAACCGAGTCTTCCGTCCTCGGGCAAGTCTGACCTGAAAAGCTGATAAAGCGATGTACGATCTGTCGGGTGTTCACCTGATTGTGCCGGTCCATGAAGGCAATTGACCCATTGTATTTGTTTGTGAGCAATACCGGGCAATATCATTTCACAGAGTAGTGACTAGTACGAGAGGTAGGTCACTTCTATCATAGCCAATAGGTCATCCACAGCGTGCAAATGCGGGCGCCCATGGCCAAGGAGGCTTTGAAAACCTCCAGACTATCTCCAAGTGTCTCTTGCATGTGCCATTATCTTGATTATTTGCTGATGGATGAGTATCTACAGCTCTGCGGCTTTACAGTGTCTGGCCCCTCTATAGCAACCCTGGTAGTTGACGAGATAGTATCATAGCGGGACAATGATGCGGCATATACTATCTCTCCTATTTATCGTGTGTCTGACGGTGAAAAATGGAGCCTGTTTAACACTTCATCAGAGGGATGTTCCTGCTGTGATATCACTGGACATCAAGCGTAATGTTGTGTCAGACCCTGTGGCCAGGGATCGAGTTCGGAGAAAACGAAACAAGACAATCGGTCAAACGCTCGATAACGAGGTGAGCAATGTCCTGCCCAGAATTTGACTTTTCAGTGCATCGATCACATCATATTTACATTCAAATAGGAAACTCTGTACTTCTGCAACGTGACTCTCGGCACCCCGGAGCAGGCCTTGCGCCTTGTTCTCGACACTGGGAGTAGCGATTTATGGTGCAACGCAGCTAATTCAACACTGTGCTCGGCATCAAGCGATTCCTGCAACATATCCGGTTCATATGACCCTGGTTCCTCATCAACATATGCCTATGTTTCATCCGATTTCAATATATCATATGCTGATGGAACTGGCGCGGTTGGCGATTATGCTACCGATACACTCCATATTGGAGGGGCAACACTAAAGAATCTGCAATTTGGAATAGGGTACTCGTCTAGTTCTTCAGGTAAGCTGACCAAAGCCTGGCATTGGACGAACTTCCGCTCTGCATGTACCTGCAGTGCTATAGTGTAGATAACTAATGCCATTTCCCTTGGTATAGAGGGCGTGCTAGGAATTGGCTACCCATCGAATGAGGTTCAGGTTGGTCGGTTCGGCGAAGCTGCTTACCCAAACCTTCCGCGAGCAATGGTCGACCAGGGATTGATCAGATCCAACGCCTACAGCCTTTGGTTGAATGATCTTGAATCGAACACGGGATCGATCTTATTCGGGGGTGTAAATACTGAAAAGTATCTCGGAGAGCTGCAAACTTTGCCCATACAAGAGGTCAACGGAGGGTACTCGGAGTTTGTGATCGCATTGACTGGAGTTGCGTTCGACTCGGAGTCGCAGCATAAAACTTACTCATCAGATGCTCTACCAGCAGCGGTACTACTCGACTCCGGCAGCTCTTTGACCTATCTCCCTGACTCCATCGTTAAGGGCATATATGCTGATCTCAACGTCGCATATGAACCCTCGAGCGGGGTCGGTTACCTGCCATGCAATTTGGCGGGAAACAACATGAACATCACATATACTTTTTCAACCCCAAATATCACGGTTATGATTGACGAACTTCTCCTTGACGCGGGCGACCTTCGTTTCCGGGATGGTGCACGTGCATGTATCTTCGGGATTGTCCCCGCCGGAGACAGTACTGCGGTTCTCGGTGACACATTCTTGCGCAGTGCGTATGTTGTATATGACATCGCCAACAACGAGATATCTATCGCCAACACCAATTTCAACTCGACGAAAGACAACATTCTGGAAATTGGCACGGGAACTGATTCTGTTCCCGGTGCCACCCAGGTTTCTCATCCAGTTACATCTGTCGTAGCTGATAGCTCTGGGGCGAGAATTGGGGCGCCAACAGGTGCATCTTCAACGACCGTGCCGTCAACAAGCTCAGCGGGCGCCGTAGCAGCAGGAGTTGCGAGAGCCCAGAAGCAGCACCTGGCCATGGCCTTGACAGCTGTTTGGTATGTGCTGAATCTGTGGTAATTTTTCCTGCTTCTTGTCCTTGGTGTCAAATGGTCATTCTATTTGCCCCCTATTCTATCTGATTATAGATACCCTCGCAAATCGATTTCGAGTTGTCATCCTCTACTTGTCAGCTCTTCTGCTATCTCCTGATTCTTTGATACTAGACACACCTTCCTCCCCAGATCTTGTTTACTTATCTCTCATCAATCTCTCCTCCACATTCATCACCCCTTTTGGCGTAAATGGCTGGAGACACATGCAAAGACAGCGAGCACGTCATACCCATTATCTCCCTGGCGCTCCTACTCATTTATAAAACTTCAGAAAAATTACAGTAATTACATTATAATAATCATGATCTATGCATTAGCCCTAGCATTTTTACATTGTATATGTGTAGGTACTGGAGGTCTGTCAAATCTCAAGGTAGGGGGTGTGCCATGAAGAATGTTTTTACCTAATTTAGTTCTATCTTAATACCTTTTATACTAATATTATAGCCTAGGAAGTTAATCTCTATAGTATAAAATTTATATTTATTATATTTTGTATAAAGTCTATATTTCTAGAGCCTTATAAATATCTTATAAATATACTAGATATATTCTTCTATATTATTAGGGTAGATATGTGAGAGCACCTATGGAATGCTCTTAATTAAATAGTAGATAGTATGGTAGTAGTAATGCCTTTATTAGTAAACTAATTACTAAGGTATAAGATGCTTACCCCTTAGTAAGTAATAATATCTCTATAGGTTATATACTACCTATATAACCCCTATAGTTTACTAGATATAGGCTTACTATATCTAATAACTATCCCCCTCCTTTATATACTATATCTCTATAGCTAGAGGTTTATTTATAATATTCTTTATCTTATATAAACTATATATTCTTATTAATTAAATTAAAATAGTAGATATTATTATTACTTAATAAAACTTACTAATATAAGATTATATTAGTTAGTAATCTTATTACTACTAATATATTACTCTCTCTATTAATATTATTATATAATTATCTAGTCTTATTATACTTAGTTCTTT